GGTCAGGCTCGTGAGCAGCACGTATAATAAAAGGCATGCACCATGCATGCAATCAAACTGCCCGATTCAGCGAACAAACCAACGACCACATTGGCAGTCCAGCTATCTATTGATCGTTACGGCAGCAGTCTGTTCGTGAATAAATTGCAACAAAACTCACAAGAAATTATGAGTTGGAAACTGGATCGAATGCTAACAGCGGTTTTACTTCTCAGATGAACTGTATTGTTCTGATTACAGTCTCGAGCTAAACTTTCGACCGAATGTTCTATAAGCCTATAAACCCCTTATTATCCGACAATCTTCAGCCACCTTTCTTTGTCAAACTGCCAAGAATTATGGGGCAACGTCTTGGTAACAGGTTCTAAACGTATCAAAAACGGTTGATCAATGTGTCCAGTGTTTCTTGGGTCTTCCATGCTTCTTTTTAGCATTTCGGTCAGTATATCTGATTAATATGGTCATTCGGTAGACTCATGATTATTATCTGGTCGAATACAATAGCCAGGGTGGCAAGCGCATCAGTACAAAGGTGAGATAAATTCTACCCCAGCAATTTTTGGAAGCCCGGTTTCTATTTATAGTATTAATAAATCAGACAGCTGTTTCGAAATCGCCTTAATTCATAATAGGTCACTCTGCCTAGACGATCACAACGTACGCAACCCCCCGCAGCAATGGCTACTAACTCCCGACCTTCTGGCCCAAAACATGCCTTTTTCAACTGCATTGGGGAGCGATTGCATCTCTGAATCCCCATTTTATGGGTATCCAGAAAGTGGAAATCTGTCATATTTTGGACGGGCAGGGATTGTGTTAAAAACCGGTATAACCAGTAATACATCCTTATTCACACCACTGTGATCGCAAAACCCAGTGGTCCAGGACTCATGTTTAAAACTTTCAGTTTTGCTCTGAATGTGAACCAAGCAAATCGTTCAAGCCTGAAGAAGCTTGGCTATTCGGATGCGATAAATCACGTGCGTACAGCGGGCGCTGTTGGACTAGAGGCAACATGCTCGCCTTGTGTGTTGAGTGTCGGGAAATCAAACGCGCGAGAATATCCACCGCAAACGGGCTCTGATGAGAGCTAAGCCGAAGCGCTACGAAACAGTCAGACCACGAAGCAACCCAAATCCCGAAAGGACCAATCAGGTTGCGTGCTGGCTAACCTCAAAACAACCATCCACGTCGCGCTCACTAACTACCCTTCAGAAATTATACAAATACAAACAGAAGTGGCGGAATTATCAACCTAACAGCGCACTGATGATGCCTTGTCACACGGAGACAAGGCTATCGCATACCAATTGTCAAGCTCGGCGAAAAGATCAGCTGTCACTTGTCAACAGCAGTTATTTTGATGAAAGAGTTCATGATTTTGACTTCAAGTTTATACCACTCCCGATTTGGGATACTCATAAAGAACGGAATCATTCAACCCCATATTACCACATGACTCCAGACTACTCTGTCAAGCCGAAATCTAGACTGTAAGGAGATCAGAATATCGCGCTGATGGTGCGAAATGATAATCGCCGTTGGATGAGTTTGAAATTATGTACTCCCGCATTATTCTGTGGGGTTCCAGCTGGTTTCCTGGGTACAAGGAAGTCATGCGATGTCCTTCAGGACCATCAGATGAATTTTATCACCTGCAATAATCGTACCCTAATTTATCCATCTCGACTGAGACAACCGAAGTGTCGTTCTTCTATGCGAATACTTCACGTCATTGATGCACCAAGACATTAGGAACATTCAAAATTCCAGTTGAGCACAGTTTCTGCTTCCATTTGTGTGCCTAAAGTTCTGCTCGTTTTATTAGCTACATTCCATTAGCGCTCTATACTGAAATTTAACTCCGGGGATCTTTGCAGTTTGATGCTCTCGCTAGTTAATTCGAAGTGACACGAAGCGGTCCTCGCTCGAGTCCAACTGATTCCACAGTTCTAAGAAATATTTCGGGTTTGATTGGACAGAAGTCGGTGGTTGATAAAGGGAATCCTGTTGGAGACCGATGTATATGTGGCCGGGGATCATCTTCTTTCTAGTTCGGATGAATCAAAGACAGTGACTGAGTTATCCAACTTCATGAAAGACCTGTTTAACGCGAAAGTTAGTAACGTTTTAGATCTCTGTATTACCTTGAAAAACTTGCGGTTACTCATTTTCCATCACCTGTGCGCCAGTTGGCGATCTTGTTTACGCTTCGACAGCATTGTTATTGTTTTGCTGAACGAGTGGTTGTTGAACTGGTTGACCAGGCAGTTGCTCAGATCATCCTCAGAGACTAGTTGTCCCGGAACTTCGCAGCCTTCAGGCACGTGACTTCCAGTGGAGTTATTTAGCTGACACTGGTTTCAAAAATGGAATTTCTCAAACACAGTACTAGGTCCACTAATCAGCATACTCACTTCTATTGTCATACGTGTCAGCAAACAGGAGAAAGTTGGGAAGACGCCTTGTTTCTGGTATGATGGTGTGCCGTTATGATGTACCGTATGTAACGTACGGTATCCTTAACGTTGTGCCGATGAAACATGAAGTGACGTTTGTACAGTATAATTAGGTGTAACGGTGATTCTACTGATTGGAGGCATGCGAGAAGTATGTTCTCTCGTAAATCCGATTTGCGTCTCTTGAAAAGTGGGATCTATTGCGGAATTTGTAGAGCATTTGCTTGCAACTGAGTAACAGTCAATGAATATCCAGGAAAATTCAGGAATACGCGTTCAAAGAGAGGATGGATGCTCAGTTTTTGTAAACAAAATGCATATGAGAGTTTTACCCCCCTGTCCAATAGTCTGTAACCGTTCAGTTGGCATTTTCTAATAAATAACTCCGCAGCGAAGGCCTTCTTCCTTCCACAGGTAGGACACAATGCTAGGGGACAATGCCTTTTTGATGAAACCCAAGAATGGTGAATCAAGTAATGGGATGTCGGAGGATTTTCAGCGACCTTATGAGTAGGATGTCATGTCAAAAAATTGATAGTGTATTCTTGGAAAATGTTTTGGCGCAAATGAACGTAACCAAAATAGAAGCCATTACGTTCGTAGTAAAAATTGGCACCAGAACATCACATAATACTTTGTCTGGTCGTTCTTATTGCATGTTTTACGGTAGTGTCATCAAATCAAAGTTGCAAAAGAGCCTAGTGCTGTTACGTAGAACCAACTGCACAACCAGCCGTGGCCACTAAATCGTACAGAACCAGCAACTATCTGTGGTGGTAAATTGCAAAACTGAGTACCTATCGACTGGATTACCATTCTGCTCGCCTGTTTTCGATCAATAGCTTGACACATTAAAAGATATTTATCGGCGAATCCGTAACGAGGCAGTTAGAAAGCGCGTTTTCGGTTGTGCAGCGGGTACTTCCACTGAAGAATGTGTCCAGCACCAGAAGCTGCGTTGGTCGGAACATGTGTTACGTATGCCAGACCACCGTTTGCCGAAGAGAGTGCTGTTTTCCATGCCCAATTCAGAGTGGTGTAAACAGAGAGGTGGCCAACCCTTGACTTGGTAGAGGAGTATGAAGGAGACCACGAAACGCTTGGGTGCTGTCGGTGCTTCTCGCCTTCCGGGATGGGAATCGCGTGATACTCACTGCGCCTGGTTGGAGACGCTGCAATATATGGCTGCCAACCGATGTTAGTGGCGTTCTGGTTGTCACATTCTATCCAGATCGCCTGAGTGAATGTGTGGATGTGTAGGCACCTCGGATTGATGGTGGTAAGCTAGCACCAAGTCTCTTCCCCGTCCACCTTTACACTTTTCTTCACAATAAGGCTTTCAAATGAATCATGGTTGTATGGCATTGAAGCATTGGTGTTGAACACTGATGTCATGCTGTCGATAATGCTGATGATGATGATGATGACGATGACTGGTGATGATGATGATGATGACGATGACTGGTGATGATGATGATGATGACGATGATGTTGATGATGATGATGATGATGATGATGATGGTGATGATGATGATGATGATGATGATGATGATGATGATGATTTTAGCTACAAACACTGGGATTATATTGCAATCACCGGGGATTTGAAATACCAGGAAGCTTGAGCTCTTGCTTCTTTCTGTGGTGGTCCAACGGAATACGGAACTACGGAATCTCTTATTGTGAACTGTGAGCCAAGATTTACTTGGATTTTCCTCCTTGCGTCTTTGTATCTGGCTTACATCAGTAAATTGTTTTCTGTTCACTAGAGACTTCATAGATCCGTTAACCACTACACGGGTGATCCATATGGTGTGACAAGGGAGCAAAAAGTATGCAGGAAATTATACGAATAAACAAGTAGTTGTAGCTGAAACAAGCATCGAGAACAAACGACAGTCTGACAGGATGACCAGTGTTCACGCAGCATTGTGACATCCCGTTAGACCGTCCACTGTTAGTGCCATAAACAAGAATTGGATAACAACAGGATGTTTACGTTGGAAAATTAAGCAATACGGGAATGGTTTTCAACCGGTGTGAAATATCGATATTCGGGATACGGTACGGTAGGAAAACAGTTTAGGCATTTTCTATAGAGGAGAATGTCGGTAGCTCAGGTTGCGTAGATGGTCGTTGGCTTGTTCGCTGAGCTGGGCAATTTGGTTGCAAACGTTTCATCACCAATCGAGGTGACATCATCAGTGCGTAGTTGTGCGTAGCGGTGGGTTAGTGGTGGTGCCATGTCCATGTAACAGGATCGATAATGGGCGGATTCGATAACCGTCACGGCATTCGGATTGGGTTAACTTTGGAGCATGGAGGGCGCAATTGCCGCACTGGCGACCACAATCGACTGTGGCCTTCAGCTGACAGCACAGAGTGAGAAGGAACTACTCTTCAGAATTTGAAGTAATTTTAACATCTATATCTTTGTAATGCACTACTCATAAGGTTGCTGAAAACTCGTCGACAGCCCACTACCGGTTTCGCCCTATTTGGGGCTCATCAGGTAGGCGCAGTCCCCGGGCTTCCGCCTACCTTCTGTTCTCCATCCTTCAGAGAAGCGCCGTGTTGATTCGATTGACGATGTTTGAAGTTGGGTCATGATCGATTGGTTTGTAGGTCGTGGTGTCATTTAGCAGTTGTTTGGCCTTTTCAATATAATCCGGCTTGTCCATTATCACGGTGATGCGTCCTTTGTCCGCCGGTAGTATCACGATTGTTTCATCCTTTCGTAGATTTGTGAGTGCGTCTCGTTCTTGTTTGGAAATCAGTGACGTGTTTCTATTCCGTGTGATCGCCGGTACGATTGTCTGTCGGATCTGTTGTTGAGCCTCCTCGGACATTTCGTTTGTTTTCAGGGCGTGTTCCAAGCTGGCTAGGTAATCTTTGTAGGATGCGTCCTCGACGTTGAAGTTGAGCCCTTTCATTAGCAGTTCTTGTTCGGCTGTGTTGAGTTGGCGGCCAGATAAGTTCTTGATCCAAGCGTCGTAATTGTTGTGTTCGTTGTTCCTCGTGAGCTTGCGCAATTTTGTTTCCATGGCTGTTCTACGCTTGATTTTGACATTGTCTACTCGGCGTCCGATTGCTATTTCGAGTTCTGCCAGGTGCTGTGGACTGGTTCTGGCCAAGCAATTTGTTTTGCTCTCGGTGAGTGCTCTTTCGTATTTCCTGAGACGATTGTGGGCATCTGTTATCATTAACTTCACCATTCGTCTGCCATACTGTCTTGCTAAGGCCCACGCCTGCGGATGGTCTAGCGCCGGTCTGTGATTAGTACTGGGTGGCAGCACGTTCTTACGTAGACATTCATGGAGGAAGTGTAATTGTTCACGTGTAGAGGCTTGTCGGCAGGCGAAGTTTTCCCAGCGACGAGCTTCTTTGAGCGTTGTACGCCCGAATTGGTTTTCTATAGAGGAGAATGTCGGTAGCTCAGGTAGCGTAGATGGTCGTTTGCTTGTTCGCTGAGCTGGGCAATTTGGTTGCAAACGTTTCATCACCAATCGAGGTGACATCATCAGTGCGTAGTTGTGCGTAGCGGTGGGTTAGTGGTTGTGCCATGTCCATGTAACAGGATCGATAATGGGCGGATTCGATAACCGTCACGGCATTCGGATTGGGTTAACTTTGGAGCATGGAGGGCGCAATTGCCGCACTGGCGACCACAATCGACTGTGGCCTTCAGCTGACAGCACAGAGTGAGAAGGAACTACTCTTCAGAATTTGAAGTAATTTTAACATCTATATCTTTGTAATGCACTACTCATAAGGTTGCTGAAAACTCGTCGACAGCCCACTACCGTTTCGCCCTTATTTGGGGCTCATCAGGTAGGCGCAGTCCCCGGGCTTCCGCCTACCTTCTGTTCTCCATCCTTCAGAGAAAAACTAAGGATGTCGGATTTTTGTATGGTCCGTAATGTGAGTGGCCTTTGCCAGAAATTCGATGATTCCAGGTTTCTCATCTCCCTCTCTGTCTCTCCTGTCTTCACGGAACCGTTAGAGAAACGGAACACTGAGTTTCTCCTGAACTCATCACCAAGGTCTATATATACGAAAATGAGCAAGTCTTTCCAACTGCTCCGATTCGAAGAATACCGTGATTGCTGAAAAAGGCTGCAATCTTACCTTAACATCCTTTATTAGAAAGCACCAAATACAAACTAAACAGTCCACCGAAAAAAATGACAGAACGCTAGAGGTAGACGCCAAAGGTGTCGTCCATTACAGAAAACCACTGATGCACACATCCCAAACGATGCACTGTTTGTGTCTTTAGAGACCTCACAAGTCCACAGATTTTCTGCTGGTGAACATCGTCAATGCGTGCGTTGAAGCCTGGTTTTGCGGTTACATTCTCACAGCACAAACGGGGTTGGCCAACTGTGGCAAGGCCTGTGAAACTCGTTCGAGTGGCAGCGAGTGATTTCTGGATTGTATGACAGTTATCTGCTCAACGGATTCGTCCACTGTGTTAGGTAGAAGACGAGACATATGTGAGACGGTCGATGCGTGCGCCGGAAAAGGGAATAGATATCATCGTGGCGGTAGGTAGAGATGATGACATTGAAGAGCGAGAGCCGGTTACATTTGGCACTGAGATGTCAGACACAAACGGTGATGCTATGCTGGCGGAGCAAGGCTGCGCGTCGGTTTAGCATATGCGCTGATGAAAGGGATCAAGTTCCTGTATAAGGCTTCACAGAAAACAGATTAGTTATTCGAAAGCAGACAACTTTCCACTCGCTGCCAGGTCTCACCAAAGTTGGCTTGATGCAGTTAGATGACCGAATTTGTGGCCGCAAAACCGTGCTTCAACGCATGCACTGACGTTGTTCGCTAGCGAGAAACTTTTAGGCGTTCCAGTCCTGCAGAGGTACAAAAAGGGCGTCGTCTAGGTTGAGTGCACCAGTGATTCTTCATGTAAGAAACGGCGATATTCCAATCCAAATACGCCCTTCTGTTGTCGTGATTTTCCAATGGCATGTTTATTTTGCATTCGCTTTTCGTAATACTGGATGCGGTTTCTCGATAAATTTAACTGTAGGATTGTAAAAGTATGCGTAACGACAATCACGGTACTTCCTGAAGTAGCTGGAAGGACGCAGCCATCTCCGTATCGTGCACTCGCTGTGCACGTATTTCGAGCTCAAGGTCATGGATCAGTTACTACTCAGAGTTCGATTACGTCACGGAAACCTGACTGTCGGATGAATGCAAATAAGTGTAGTCAAAAACTTTCTGACAAACACTTAATATAGGATAGCAACTGGTAAGCTGATATCGTTAGATTTCAGGCACGGAACACTTACACTACAGACTAGAAAAAAAACTGGAGATTGTGTTCAATGAATTGGAAGCCTTCATCTGCCGATCGCAAGGCGTTTCCGACTGCTATGCTTAAATTGATTTTCGAAAGAAAATATACCGGTAAGAGGTGAAAAGAAAGACCCATTCTAGGGTACTTTTCACTGTATGCATCAAAATTCTGGCGCAGGCCGTTGATTCGACATACCACTTTTCTAGCCAGTAAGGACTTTGTGAACCTAGCAATGCTGGTGCAGAAAAGGATGCACTTTGATGTCAAATATTGAACAGATACTGTGAAGAATACCTAATGAAATTGTACGTCAGTGTCAGTTATTATGGTGATTTTACACTGATTGCCTGACAACTTTTGGATACGCTTTCGCTTCTAACGGTTTGACCTGGTCACTTGGGTAGATATTGCGACCATCTTAGTGAGATAATCAGAGTGGTCCACATTTGACAACGAATGTGGTGGGTTTCCAGAGCCTCTGTACCAAATGTGTAACCGTGGGGCGTTTCGTGACAACATTGCTTTTCACCTACCAGTAGTGTCACACTAAGGCCTATCAGGAAGGTTAGATTCTTGAAAGCAACCACTGAATGCCCAAAATCTACTGAGACTCTCAGCTCCGCTAGATGTTGACCAGACAGACAACGCCCCTTCAATATGCAGCGTGTCACAGTCTTGTATCAAACCCAAACAGCGAAAGTCAGCGTTGACCAAGGTCAGACAATGCCCCCGCGATATGCAACACGTCACAGCCTCGTACCAAAGCCAGACGTGTGTGTCAGCATTGGACTAAGTTCAGACAGTGTCCTTCCAATAGATAACTTGAGACCATTGTACTTTTCGCACTCACACGCACTCACGCTCTCACACTCGCTTGTTCGGAATACGCCGGTTGTGTTCCCTTCTGTGAGTCTTTTTTTTCTCCGGCACCAGGCACCGGAGCGGGTCAGCTGCAGATACCATAGATTGGCGAATCAGCAGATATAACAAGGACGCAGCTTTATTTCCCCCCAAAATGTGTTGTTCAGATGTCATTCCCTCAGTCCTCTTACAGGGATACCACAGCCATCTCTCCATATGCGACACAGCAATGCATTTAGTCGAAAAACGCTAAGCTATCAAAGTAACAACGAATTTTCTAACTCCATTCCAAACTAACCGTTACCTGTTTTCGGTGACAAAATCAGTCCACTGATTTAGATGAGGGTGGATATCCCAATAGAGAGGTGTCGCGTGTTGTTCAAGGGCCGGTTTGTGAGGTTGAAAAAAAATAGTAAAATGAAGCACTTTTTCGAACTTGCGTTACCTAGTGGCAACCAGGTTTAACGGTGCACCAAAGGTCCTAGATGAAAGTGAATTCCACGACCCCTACAAAGGCATCACGGCATCACTGTGGTCGAACGAGGGGGAGGATGATCAGGTTGCCAAGCCATGGGTAATGGCGAATTTGGTTGGAAACCAGATAAGCCCTGCTTGCTTCATTTGAAACTATTGGGCACTCGAATCTGATGAGAACCAGTTAGCAGAGGATACTCTAGAAGGTCAGATAAGCCTTCTCGTTGTGAGCACGTTTTAGTGTTTTCAGCTCAACAATTTTTCTCACCCTGTTACCATCTCTCCACCCCAGTTCGCCGATAATTGCTTGTCCCTTTCGCTTAGAGTGTGAAAAACATCTGATCGGAACTAGATGTAGCATGAATCTTTGAGTGCGAGATAAAAAAGATCCACATACACACGCACAGATGATACTAGCAAGTGGGTATTTTCTCCCAAGGTCTCCAAAGGCTCCACCTTAACTACTGACACCATCTGTTGTAGAACGGAGTACGGCAGCGAAGCATCAGTGATGAACACTGATTTCAAGCTAGCGATGTTAATGATGATGATGATATTATCGGACGGCTCGTCTGAAAAAAGGAGTAAACACCTACGTGCACTAAGAGAAACCCAACAGATTGAAACACGCAAGCCTACGGCAGTGAATTGAAAGGAGCCGACTGCTGCAGGTCGACAGCTCCTAAAATTATGTTTCTTTTGGGTAATATCCAGGCCTAATAAAGGAAAAACGAAAAGAAATCCTATCATTATCGGATTTCTCACATTTTCGCCTATTAAGCATTTATGTTTGTGTGAGGAGATTTGGGACTTTTCAATAGAAATTCCATCACGTAATTGAAGCTAATCCACACTAAAAAGCTAACATGCACTGTACAACTGTTTCATCCCTATTGGAAA